GACTTATTAAGAGGCTATCTGCTCTTGATTTGAGCTGGTGATTAGAGGAATTTGCTAATATACTAATTGTCAGACTTATTAAGAAGCTATCTGCTCTTGATTTGAGCTGGTGATTAAAGGAATTTGCAAATATACTAATTGTCAGACTTATTAATCAATTAAATGAAACTAATAGATAATTCTCATATGAGAGTAATATTCCTATTTTCAGCTTGTTATGGTCTTTTTAAAGAGATTTTTCAAATACCCTTCATTTTAATATGATAGACATCATTTGGTAAATATTTAAGTTAATTTTTTAACCATAAACTGTTGTACATGAAAAGGTAATACATATAAAATATATTCAAAAACCTGTAACAAGATGAAAATATGATTAATACCTTTCCACTGGCTTTTCCCTATAAATTTTCACCAGACTACTCTACTAAAACTAAATAAACTAATTATTTAAAAAAGAAAATAAATTATCATTATATTTGATGTAATAAAACTAGTAAGGTTCTTGTCACAGTGTGTAATAGATAATATATAATTCAGTTAAAAAACTTTTACACTCATCCAAGAAAAACAAAGACGGTACAATGTTTAATATTTGGCAAGAAAACTTAAAAATAGAAGTATTGTATGAAATATTAAAATCCCAGTAATGATAAACAATATTTAATTATAGACGTTTTAGACTTCTTTCCTAATCTCATCATCAGTGTGAAAAACTTTAGAATAAATACAATCTTTATGAGTACAAAACCTTCAAGCTTTTAATGTGTTTTACAGTACAGGCAACACTGTAGAAATATATGTGCATGCTGAGAAATCAATAAACCTTATTATACTAAGCAGTATTTAAGCAGCATTTGATAACAACCAGACTTTTGTTTTCCCTTTTCATTACTTCCTATCTACTTAGAGCTAGTCATAATTAAACAGGAGCCCTGTTCATATAAACAGGTTAATGACTTAATATTATTACATATTGTTAGGCTATTATTAGTCCATGTCTAATGAAATTTTTTTCGAGAGAATACAGAATAATGTATATTAACTTGCCATAACATTTTTTCTTAAAACAATGTTACTGTAAGTAACATCAGTTACATCTATAGCTTGTAAAAAGTAAGAAATATATTAAGTTAAAGCTGCACTATTATTAGAACATACAGAGTAAACATGAACAACATAAATCACTCTGGCTAGTTAGATAACCAACAACTATTAAACCATACACTTGTGAGTCATGTACAGGCAAAAAGCATGCATATCATTGCAAGTTGTCATGCCAAAGGAAGTCTGATAACTTGGATAGTTGGAATAACTGGAAACACCAATTTCTATTACTTGATTATTTTTGTAAGTCATGACACTACTGATTAAGCTGAATGGCCTTGAATTAATCAAAATTAATAATAATAGCCATATTTTGATTGTATTTGTGACAATAATCAATTAATTGTAATTTTCATTATTTTACGTGACACTAATCAACGTCCATAGGTAATTGACTGTATCAATTAATCGTCTTAATCCCTTGGAAACATTTGCCTCTTTGCATGTAAGGACATCAGTGTATTCAAGAATTAAGCAAGAACTTTTACTCTTTGCTCTGACAAGTATTTGACAAAGAGATTACACTATTTGTGGACTTCAAAAGTTATTTCATAATCTCTTATCAAAATTTCGGCTATCTTCGATTTTACTGTGTGTTTTTTGTCATCAGTTAATTTTCCGTAACTTCGTTCCGACGAAACTTTAGCGACACAAGTCCTTTCTTAAATAAAACTGGTTTATTCTTTCCGAATACAACTTTACCGATACACTTAATTTCAACAGTCGCGCTATAACAAACGCTATAATAACGAACGTCTCACGTGCTCAACTTCAACAATATTTTATCCCATACATTCAATTACTCATTACACTGTTGTCCCGTCACGTTGTCAACGTCTTATATATACAAGACTAACACATATCTAGTAAATGCTAGGGCATTCTTGAAGGAACAGGATATTTCTAGAAAGGGGTGGCGTGATACTAGTCACGTGACATCGCTGACGCAACAAGAGCTTTAAAAACAAGATTATTCAAGTTCAGTTTTTTTAGCTTTTCACTAGACATAATCTTTTTCTTCATTGCAATAATGTCTCAGTTTTGAGTTTTCCGAAGAAATAACCACAATCCGATATGTTTCTATTAATTTTGTTTCCAAAAAGCCTTTTTTTCCCATTGTTCAAAAATTTCATATTTTCACGGAAAAAAACCAAGGCTATAGCCCATGTTCTTTCCGAAAATTTTGAAAAATAATGTTTTTCCTAATATTTCAATACAAAGATGAAATTTTGATAACAGATTATAAAATAACTATTGGGAATTTTGATGAAAAGACATCCATTTTGAAAGTCTAACATATATAGTGGCTATCTTTGACTTTACTGTTGTTTTTTTTTTCAGTTATATTGTAAACAAAAAACAGCTTTAAAAACAAAACAATTTAAGAAAATTCCAAAGATCTAAAAGGCCATGACGTATTCTCATAAAATAAACTTCTCCTTTTGGAATGTTTTTACTCTGGGTTAGAGAAAGTTCAGTTTTTTGAGCTTTTCACTGTACATAATATTTTTCTTCAATACTATAATGTGTCAATTTTGAGTTTTCCGATAAAATAAGCACTATCCGAATTATTCTATTAATTTTGTTTCAAAAAAGCCTTTCTCCCACTTTTTAAAAGTTTCATATTTTCACCAAAACAACCAAGGATATAGCCCATGTTCTTTCCTAAAATAGTGAAAAAACTATTTTTCCTCATATTTCAATACAAAGATGCCCTTGATGTAAGACATTCAAAATGGATATCCTTTCATCAAAATTCCCAATAGTTATTTCATAGTCTGTTCTTAAAATTTCGGCTATCTTCGACTTTACTGTTTTTTTTTTTTTTGAGTTATATTGTAAACAAAAAAGAGCTTAAAATAAGACTATTCAAGCAAAATTCCAAAGATCTAAAAGGCCATGACGTCTTCTTATAACGTAAACTTCTCCTTTTGGATTGTTTTTACTCTGGGTTAGCGAAAGCTCAGTTTTTTTAGCTTTTCACTGGACATAATATTTTTCTTCAATACTATAATGTCTCAATTTTGAGTTTTCCGATGAAGTAAGCACTATTAAATTTATTCTATTAACTTTGCTTCAAAAAAGCACTTTTTTCCATGTTTCAAAAAAATCCATATTTTCACAGAAAAAAACCAAGGCTTTCGCCCATGATCTTTCCGAAAATTTTGAAAAAATTGTTTTTCCTAATATTTCAATACAAAGATGCCCTTGATGTAAGACTTTCAAAATTGATATCCTTTCATCAAAATTCCCAATAGTTATTT